AGAGAGAGAGAGAGAGAGAGAGAGAGAGAGAGAGAGAGAGAGAGAGAGAGAGAGAGAGAGAGAGAATGAAAGAAAGAGACTTCCAGCTCCATGAAAGCAGGGCGGTGCGTTTTCATCCTGTTTCCCCCATGTTCTTTCCTAGAGAGAGAAGCATTCGGAGAAGATATAAAGGAGGAGGAGGAGGAGGAGGATACCCTTTGACGCATCCTTCTGCTACTTCGGGTCGTCAAGAGGAGCAACAAATGTGTGTACTCTGTCGTAAGCCAACGGATCTCCCTGAAAGCACGGCGGTTTGAGACTATTTCCGAATTCTTTATCCAAGAGAGAGCAGTAAGAGAAGAGATGGAGGATGAGGAGGACGAGGAGTACACCCTTCGGTGCATCGTTCTGCTACTTCGGGTCACCAAGAGGTGGGAGAAAAATGTGTACTCTGTCCGAAGGGCCATCCCCAGACTCTCACCCTTCTTCTCCTTCAATTCTGCAAGCAAGTGATCGATGCGTGATGGCCGCGGAGACGCATTAGCACACCTGAAAGAACGCCAGAGATCGGGTGAGAGACAGAGAGAGGAGGGGTTGGGGGGGGCAAGAGGGCAAGGACGAAGAGAGGAAGCTCGTTGAGATGAGATGAATAGAACATCAGAAGGCAATGACGGCAGACACAAAGAAAAAAGCTACAGGATGCCACTGGGCAAGGAAAGAGAGAGGGAGTGGGAAGGACTGGGGGACAACGAGCGTTGAGGGGCAAAGGAACTGTCCGACCCACCACCTGCCTTGTGGCACGAAGGTACGCACGTGCACCTCCAAAAACTGTTTTGCTCAGCTGAACGCAAAGAGTTCGAATCGTTTGCAGGATTCCTTTCAGTTACTGGCTCCCGCCTTGAATCTAAAAAGGGACGCCGGACCTGATTTTCTTCCGTCATATGCAGAGATGCTAGAATTACTAGAAGTATTTTTTTTTGGAAAGGACGCTGGACCTGGTTTCCAGCCAGTTTTTCTACCACTTCTTCTGAGGACATTGGACCTGCTTTCCAGTCTGATACCCAAGATAGGATGCTGGACCTGTTTTTCAGCAATCCAGGTTGAATTGTGAGGTCCCCGGCCTCTGTTCTTGTCCTTTTAATACCAAGCAAAGTTCAAAAAAAAGAAAAGAAAAGAAAAAAAACAAACAAACAAAACAGGACCTGCAAGGAGCACAACCTCGTTTTTGTTTTATAAAGGGTGATGGCCTTAGGGTATTATCGTGGGACTAACCAGCCCAGGTAAATTCGACCATGTGCCTAATCTGACACCGGGTGGCCTTTTCAGCCCAGGGTGGCCTTCTTGCCATCAGGGAACGCCAAGTGGGCGACACCGGCCAGGCAACAGCCCGTAGCAGAGGGACCGAGCATCATCTGATTGGCCAGTCGCTGTGCCTCCCTGATTACCCCTCCCCCTATGAACATCAGCAGAGACTGCTTTTTAATGCCAACTGGGGGGACCAATGGGCTATCTCCAGGCGGCGGGCGCCAATCATGCCCAGGAAGGTACATGAGGCCAACGAGGATAAGAGAGGGCGTGAGTTACTAGTTGGTCTACTTAGGGGCTAATAGGTGATTGCTTGAGCCTGGCGTCTGAAGTTCCCGTACGACGAGGCTCGTTCGACTGCGCTTCCACCAGGGCTGGGGAACTAGCCCTGGTGCCTGTCACTACTGTTCGGTCCAAGTTCCCCTCGATGGTAGGGTAATGGTCCTGAGTGCTGGTCACACTGAGGTAGGATAGTAGGAATAGGGGGTGCACTAGGAGTATTGACGCGAGGATGGGATGGGAGGTAGCCTCGTCTCTTCAGACCAACCATGGCTGACAGCTTCCGGCGATCAATGTGAGCCTAGTAACTGGCCTCTACAACACCCTGACCTCCTGAATGCCACTTGCATACCTTACCAACTGAGCTAGCCCGCCCCTCTTTCAGATCTAAGCTGAGATTTTACTATCACGGATGAACTTCAATCTTTTTTATGTACGTCTAGTGGAATCTCGACCTATGGGTAGGCCCTCGTATGAGGGGCACGTTCTATTGGATATACATGCTACCACGCACCCCTTCAACTTCTCCAGGCACCCCTGGTAACAAATTTTCCATATGACCCTACCAAGGACAGGAAAATTGCATTTGTATCCTGTTCAAAGATGGGAGTTTCTTTATACCCAGTCCCAGTGTATCCCGTCCAAAGATGGGAGTTTCTTTTATACCCAGTCCAGTGCCCAACTTACATGGACACCCAGGAAATGGCCTATGGAAATTATGTCGTGGACACCCAGGAAATGGCCTGTGGAAATTATGTCCATGACCAGGACCATGCCCAGGACCGAGGTAGGCCAAGGTTGGTTCCGCCAAATTACAGTTATACGCAACTACCTGAATGATCAAATTATAGACATACCCCAGCAAACTGTGCGCATTGCCCCCCAGGATTGCTGAGCAAGAATATACCTTTCTGCTCCTGGACCGAGGCACTGTGGGACCCGGTACAGGTATAATTTAGCTCATCGTGGGCATGAATATACCTTTCTGCTTCTGGACCGAGGCCCTGTGGGACTGGGAACAGGTATAATTTTGTGCATGGGAATAGTAGGGTATTACAGGGTTTGCATATAGAGGCAAGTTGGGCACTGGAATGGGGTATAAAGGGGAATTTCCATCTTCAAATGGGGTACAGATGCAATTTCCAAACTGGAAATGACCATCTTTTCTTGCTGCTCTAGGCCATGTGAAGTTGAATGATGCCTTTCTCTGGGTGGGAGTGTCTCTCTCTCTCTCTCTCTCTCTCTCTCTCTCTCTCTCTCTCTCTCTCTCTCTCTCTCTCTCTCTCTCTCTCTCTCTCTCTCTGTGTGTGTGTGTGTGTGTGTGTGTGTGTGTGTGTGTGTGTGTGTGTGTGTGTGTGTGTGCCTTCCTCCCCTGGCCCGAACGTCTCCGTTCATCCTGTCTGTACGATCTTCAAGACGGGTACCCATCGTGATCCATTACCTCAGGCACCTCAGGGACCTCAGGAAGACTGTCGAAGTTCACACGAGTCATATTCAGCATGTTGCATTTAGCATTGTATACATGCACAGGACATGTATACAATCACGAGTCCCACCCCCATGAGTGAACAGCTTGCTGTCTGTCTACCTTCTTCCCCCCAATAACCTTGCTGGAATCCTCAATCAAGAGTGCTCTTTTTGTTTGTTTTAGATAACAAAAGAATTTGCTGCAGACACAACCTTTCATGTGCTAAAGAAAACACATGTAATCAAGAAGAAGCATTTAGCAACGAAGCAGGACAGAATGATCAGCTAGGCATTTTATCGGTGCACACTGTGTCTTTGTCCAGACAGGCTTAGCTTAGACCGCTAGTGGTGCCCCCTCTTCACCACCCTCTTCTCCTGCACCATCTCCCCCACCGCTTGGTTCTCCACGTCCTCCTCATCTTTCTCAAGGTGAATCACCTTTCCTCTCCCTCCTCTTGTCCCACTTCCTGCCTCCCTCCTCCTCCTTCTCCTTCCCCTCCTCCTCCTTCCCCCCCTCCTCCATGTTCTCCGTCTACCTCTACCATTTGGATCCTCACCACGAGGAGAGATCTGCAGCGTACCTTACCGATTCCTTTTTTTTTTTTTTTTTTTTTTTTTTTCCGATTCCTCTTTTCCCTTTTGTGTGAGAGGGAATTCTGATGTGTGTCTGAGGGCATCCCCACGCTAGGAGTTTCCTCTATGTATCTGACCGTAATTACAGCCATGCCTGAATGCATCTGACCACAATAAGGCCAGAGCTCGGTCAAAAAATCCTAGTGTGAGTGTGCTCTGAGACTGGTATTGGATGGACAGAAGGGGGGAGAGGCAGAGCGAGCGCGCGAGCGAGCGAGCGAGCGAGAGAGAGAGAGAGAGAGAGAGAGAGAGAGAGAGAGAGAGAGAGAGAGAGCATGGATGGACCCCTCCCATCCAGAGTACAAATTCACACGGGGCAGGGGCAGCAGGAAAAGATAGTCTTTTCCGGTTGGTCCCACTACAGGTTGCTTCTGCACAGGGAATGGGCTCAATGGGCCTTGAACGGGTATAGGGCAGGGGTAACCGTAAGATGTCACTGTGCCAGTAGGGCCATATGGAAAATTTGCCATCAAGGGTCCAACGGACAGAACTAATAGGGGCATGTCTACGAGATAGTGGCATGACGAATGCCCCTCTGTTTTAGGGGTTTTCGACGAGATGCCCTTCTTTTAGAGGCATCTGATGAATGCACCATCTTCTAGGGGCATCCGACAAATTTGTTCAAAACTCTAAAATGTTCAGGAACCCCGCCAAGATGCCAATGGGTGATGGTCCTGGGTGGTTAACACTAGGGTAGGACAGGGGGGGTGGGGGTGCGCCAGTCTTCAGAGGGGTTCCATCTGGACAACCGAGTGGCAGAGTACTGTGGATGACTGCCATCCGTCTAGTATCCCACCTCTACAACAACCTGGGCTTAAAAAAAAAAAAAAAAAA